TATATATTATATAATATAACAGTATATATTATTATTTAACCTATTTTTTTTTATGAATAGGTACGCATGAAGATGCTATGTACGGAACTAAGCTCGAAACTATCCGCAAAATTCATGAAGAAGGCAGAATGGCCATATTGGATGTTGAACCACAGGCACTGAAAGTTTTACGGACTGCTGAATTTGCACCTTACGTCGTTTTCATCGCTGCACCAGCATTTGCAAATGTTACGGATGTAAGTATAAAAATTAATTCACAAAAAAATTAAACTATTATTTTGAATATTTTTCGCAAATTGTAGCTCGCATAACGATTTAGCGAATGCATTTTATTATAATATAAAATTTCTTAATATACATGGAGAAACATATATAATAAAAAATATATATAAATTTATATAAAAACATAAAGTTATATAAAAAATTGAATAAAATTTCCCATTCTCTCTCTCTGAATCATAACTCTACAATAATTAATTTGAAATATATTAATTATGTACATTATTAATTGATAATGTTAATTACATATTTTTTGTTTAATATACATATTTAATATATAATACATGTTTAATATACATATTTTTTTAAAATTTTGTTTGCAATTGCTAATCATTTATTTTTACGTAAAACGAGATAATTTTAAATTGCAAACGTTATTTACTTTTCGCATTAAACAACGATGTATAATTAATCAAGACGGCATGTCTAGAAAGAATATGCTAATTTACCTTTCCATAATACACGTTTCTAACTAAAACATAAACGTATTAGCCTTAAAACGTTTATCATGTAAACTGAGATTAATATTTAATAGGATCTATAATAATTCACATAATACAACGGCAAGTTACAAGCTTATCGAAGAATACGTATACATAAAACACCGATGTCAGCAAATATTCCCTTTAACCCTGAAAAATTCCCTGAACGTATCTTGATTCTTGATGTGTGATGCGAATAGGAATACTTGGCACGCCAATTAAGCAATTAAGCAAACCGTTCAGTGATCTTCAAATGAATCATGAATTTGTCGGATTAATCGGGCAAACAATTACCGCTCCACTTGTTCTGAATGACTAATCGGACTGATAACAGTCCGTTAATACACTTGAAAGGAAATCATTAAAAGATTTTGATGATGACATAAATATAATCCATATAAATACATATAAGTAAAGACTATTACATTCCGTATTCTACGTTGGATTGAAATCAAATTTACTTCATTTTCATAAAAAAAAAAAATATATGAAACTGAATCGATTTTCTATTAAGCATATAAGTACGATTTTTATATAAATATCTCTTATGCTTTCAGTTCGACGGTAGTTTAGAACGTTTGGCGAAAGAGTCGGACATGCTGAAGCAAGCATATGGGCATTTCTTCGATTTGACTATCGTGAACAACGATCTTGACGAGACAATCGCCCAATTGGAGGCTGCGATTGAACGCGTTCACACGACACCACAATGGGTGCCTGTTTCTTGGGTCTACTGACAGCGGTCTTCGCCGATTCGTCACATCGTCACCACGGATTGCAATGGCTCATCAAGGATGAAACAGTGATCGCTGGTGCCGTGACGATCATCGTATCACGATCGGTCCTCTCGACGCAAAGATTTGACGTCAACAGTCACCGGCGTCCAACAGGAATACGCCGCAGACAATTACGCCGTGTACGTAGGACGTACTCAACGTACCAGTAAACATACTCGTCGTCGATCGGCTCGACGGTGAAAACGATCAAAGTGCGTGACTATACGATGGCCGTGTGTTCATGAAATTCTTTCCATCGCTGCGTAATTGTTATTATCAGTCGCGAGACACGAGAAGAGACCAGCGACGTATCGTAGTCATCCTGATCCATCGATGAGTATCGCTGTTGCGTCCGCTACCGAGTCGGATCATCCGGAAATGGAACGCGTCATCATCGAAGCACGACGAAGATCAGTGACGGCAATAATGTCGTCACGTGCGTCTAGAAACGGGCGCTTTTTCGCGGACCACCAACTCTTTCCTGATTTCATCTCCTTCTCCCTCTATTCCGTCTTCCTCCTTTGAAGATTAAAAGATAAGACAAAGAGCAACACTGATCAGCTGGGACTTCTTTTGAAATGAGACTGCTGAACGAATGCGTGTCTTTCTTTTTTATTCCGCGCAATTTGTCGTTTCTTTCGACACATTCCTGGCACGGTTTCGACGAATTCACATACGAATTTCTCGTGATTCCACGCTCAAGGCAATCACGTTTACGAACGCGAACTATGTGCAGTGATATGGCAACGCGATAACAAGAATCAAAGAATGTCGCGCAGAATGTGGAAAACCAAAAATGAGAAACAATAATCGTTCATACTTTCGCACGGATATCAACCGAGCGGCTGCATCTTCGTACTCTTTATCTGCGGAATCTATCGATTTCCGCAAACTGTAATTGCCTCCAATCATATTTTATCGTAATTACTTAACGAAAAGAAGCTAGAGATCTCTCTCGTGCGGCACGGCAGTGCTCATGAATATAATGTATGTTTGTGTGTATATATACATACATGTATATATGTACATAATTGCATATATACGTATGTATGTATATGTATGTATGTATGCGTGTATGTTTGTGTGTGAAATGTATGTATGTGTATATATATATATAGCGAAAGATGGTCCTGTCGCAATAATCGAAACTCGCGTTTCTCTCGCGTTTCTCGTTTAGTCAAAAGAGAAAAAGAAGAACAATAGAAGAATAATAGGAACTGGTGTGCTGCCGGCCGTCCGTCATTTAACAGTAACTTTAAGCAGTAGAGAACTTCGCCGGTTTCATCTAGTACTTCTGCTAATATCTAACGAGTGTTCATCTCTCGTCGCGGCTACCTCTACTACCGCGACGAATTTACGCATATACGCAAGCGCTTCTTTCGCTTTTTGTATCTTTCAATTGATTGTTGTTTATTTTTTTTTCTTTGTCTCTCTCTTTCTCTCTCTATCGCCCGCCGAACTTCTCTCACCTTTCTACATTCGACAATCGAGACCGCCGTCGGAGCGAAACGACTCATCTACTCGCTCGCTCGTGCACTCGCCCATCCTATTGCTATTCGTCGTTGCTCACGAGACTTCTCGGTCGTAAAATCAAATATTCACCGATGCACCTGACGATCTTATATTTCCTATATACACAAACACACGAAGCCATACTGCAAATCCCGGACGAATGCATAGACGGCGGATACCGATCCGGCAGTGAGAATTATATAAGTGCTATTCGGAAGCGCTTGTATAAAATTATTTAAGTTTGTACAAGACATATACATTTACATACACACATACTCACGCAGGCACGCAAGCACACGCACGCAAGTACATAACATATATACACATATGGGCACACGTCAAAACTATGTCACTCGGTTCATATTATTTACACCTTCGTACAAAAGCGTATAATCGAATGACGAAATGACAAAAACGCGGATCTACTTATAGGATATTTATAAAACGTAAATTTCAGATAAATAGATAGTTTACCAGCTATATAAAATAATGACACACATCTCTTCAGTAGAGAAGTACACACGTGCATTCACGCGTCCCCATACACCAATTTACATCGCCCACTTGTCTACACACGCACACAATATACATACATACGCACATTACGTACGCACGCAACCGCATGCGCGCGAGTGCAGGTTTACAATATACAGATTTAAAAATTAGGTAATTAATTTACAAAGGATTAAAAAAAAAATTAAATGTACGACTAATTAATATTAAAAAAATTACTAGGAGACTAATAGGTGATTTGCATATGTATATGCTCGTAGAACGAAGGAATGAATGCGTGTATACATGCGGGCGTGGTATGATAGTTTAAAATTGACAACGTTGCGTTTCTCACGGATCTGTTGGAGCTTTGACTTCATCAGTCTGTTTTTCTCTTTCTCATTCTCTCTCTCTCTCTCTCTCTCTCTCTCTCTCTCTCTCTCGGTCATCGCAACGATCTCGAAACATATAGGCGAATTTATATAGGCTTGCGTCTCGCTCCCCCGATGCGTTTTTCCTATTCCGCGCAACCACGGAGGATAACACGAACTAATCGTGGCAGAAGCGCTCGATTATTATATATTTTAGAAACGCATATAAACAAAGGGGAAGATCACGATATTGTCACGCAATGTCACGTTTGCGAGAATCGGTAACTATAACATCAGACAGAAAGAGATTTTTACAAAGCCAGATATGAATTTGCCGAGTAACGAAAATGCTCGCACAAGAAAAAAAGGTTGCCCGTCGGTGTGATAGCGTTCGTATGCGTAAAACATTGCGAAAACGCGAGAAGCATGAATCACAAGTGATTTTGTAATATTTCTTATAAGTTGTAGCTGCCATATCTAGTAATTAAGTACTAGGTGCGTTGAGTGATAATCTGACGACTGTTACGCTAATGATAACGATGATGATGATTAATGATGACAGTGATCATGATGACCGTATGTGCTGCGGCACATGTGTCTCAATTAATTTGAATGAATTGTGCTAAGATATTGAGAGAGACGACGGGTCTAAAGAAAAACAATAACATGTTCATTATAATTATGTAATTATAAATAAGAGGAAGAGACGAAGAATATTATAACACGTTGTTAATTGAATTAATAAAATTAGCCCAAAGTAACGAAGAGATGTTTAATTTGAGCGAAATTTATTGGCCTCTATGTTTTCGTTTCAACGGATGCCTTCTGGTGATATGGCTTCTTTTAGCTGGTGCTACTGCCGGTATAAGCACATCTTCCGAATTGTTTGTTTTATTGCACTGCTTTTGGTCCATAGGGAACATGTACTCCAAGTCAATGTCATATCTACATATTAAAAATTTTATTTTTAATCTCAAAAAATAATACGACAATATAATATTTGTTTTAATTCAAGAAATTATCGTTTCCTTTTCATACACTATTAAAGCACCTTAAAAATAGATGACTTTTAAAATTAACGATTTTAAAATTAACGAAATTGTATTCATTCTTTTTATTGAAGTATTTTAAAAATTATTGTATTTAAAAAAATATTTTTCGAAAGATATATATATATGTATATGTTTAATAAGATTTAAAGAAACAATTCTACTGTAATCAGAATAATATTAAGAGAAATATACCTAGGCAGTTTCTCTCGAAGATAAGAAATGACATTTGCCCCGAGGCTCGCTTCACGGCTCATGATGAAGCTAGATAAATATCTTGGGCTTTTACTCTTTTCAGCACAATGCATTAGTAACGCCCAGGATTTATAATCCGAATCTAATACGTATGTATTATACACTCCTTCGTCTGGAAAATATCGAACTCGCCGTAAAATAATTCTATGAAAAATAAGTATTTATTTTTACCAAATTAAATTGTTATAATTAACGATTCTTTCAGAAAATATATTTTTCAGAGATCATGTCTTACAAGAAGTTTACATCTAGAGCTGGTTCCAGATGACTAACGACATGAGCAAACACAAATAAACAACTTTCAAAGAAAATCGAATGGTATCGAATGTAAATTGTTTATTGTCATTTGCTTGATCTGGATCCGGCTTAACATTATGATAAATTTTTTAAAAAATGAATAAAAGAAAAAATTTAATGAAAAGAATTAACTAATAAGAATTAATTAAAATTTTGAAATTAAATTAGAATAAATCATAAAAATAAAGCAAAATGAAGTATGAAACTTTTTTTCATTACAATAGAAAAATTGAAAGAAATTAGATTGCGAGATAACTCTGTGTTTACATGGTAACTCAGCATGCATCCAATGAGCAGGTAAGTCTGGCGAAGGGATTTTCCACGTGATGTTACCAACGAGCAGCTCATTAATAGGATCGTCAGTAAAGCTGTAAGTGAAATTCATGGTAACTTCAGCGTTTTCAGGCGAAACTGAGAGCTCGGCTCTCATACATCTGTACACGAGGGCTTCCTCTGAGCTTGCATAGTACTGTACTATGTACCACAATCCGAGAAACTGCAAGAAGCGCAAGATGTCTGTTACGTGCGAATGTATGTAGGCGTGAAGTCACGCGTGAAATAGGCACAACAGTTTACCATGCCGTGCCGATTTTATTCACGTTAATATATGCTAATAAATATGTGCGGCCAATGGGTCAAGCGATTGCATTCGATAGTAAACGGCGTTAGAAATATATGTTCAAAAATTTTCCAGATGATTATCACTTCATTTCCATTCAAAGACATGATTCATTGAAATTCTCTTGTATTTTTTATAAATTCGTTTAACTTTTTTTTACTTTTCACAATGTGTTATATTGTTTAATTATATCAATTAAACATACTTGTATAAATTACTTTTACTATATTCAATACATTAAATTTTGATGTAATTTTGATTTATTGATTTGCTTTGATCTTTTTATAAGAAATTTATTTTTATAATAATGTTTAAAATAAATATGTTGCTGTTGCTAAATATAAAGAAATTCTATATAAAGAAATTCTATTAATAAGTTTCATATAAAATAATAATTCTTACTATTAAAAAATAAAACTGAAGAAATACAAAAATATATGCTTTATCTTATCTGCAAAAACATGCAACAAATTGAGACTTATAACGGAAACGTGAGACACTTCAAAGTTTTGGGTTATCACAAGATATATGTATTAGGGTTTAGAGCCTGTTATAAAGTCACACCGGTTTAAAATGCAATGTAATATTTTCAATATATATAAAATTTTTTTATCTTTTCGAATTCATTAAAATTTTGATCTAAATTCATGCTAAATAAAAACAATAAAACAGGAATAGTTTGAAATTAAATTATCTATTACGTTCATAAAGAAAGCCACAATCTTTATTTAAATGTAAATTCTTCATCTTGCTTTAATTATTTCTTTTAATTTTCTAAAATTGATATAAAAATTAAAACGCATCTGCAATACAATCCACTTCATTTAAAGTACATATCACTATTTATGACAAAAGCAAACGGAAATTGTCGCTATGTGAGTCTGTAGTCTTCCTATAAATACATATCAAATCTAAAAATAAATCCGCCAAACGTAGCTCTGGAAAGAAAGTCTATGCAAGTACTGCTATTCTATTATTCCATATTCGCAAATAATATATATTATAAAGTATTATTCTTCAAAGTATTATTCTTGTAAAATGGTTTCTCCTCTTTTTTTTATCTCATTAAAATTTATTAAATAATTAAGTACATACATTGTTAAATATTAAATATTATAATTTGCAACTGCATTTATATTATTTATTGTCAAGTTTGTATTGCAACTGTATTACATTAGAAAATTAGATCGACCAATTTTTCATAGTTTTTAAAACAGAATTGCCGAGCGACTATTTAAACAAAAAACAAAGTGATAGGTTTAATCGATACATGATATCATTTTCGAAAATTTCCTATAGAAATTAAATATGAATTCATAAATTTAGCAAAAGTACTTTACATTCTGCAAAGTCATTTGTCAACTCTTATTTGCTTATTAAAACTCATAAAT